GTACATTGATCTATTTCCCCCTCATCATATATAAATATATGGTATTTCTAATGCTATATTCCTAGCTGTTTTAGGGAGAACCTTATCACTTTCAACCATGCTTGTACATGTTTACAAGTCCACAGCAGTGTACACGTACTCCAATGTCTCTGTACCCTCTCCATCATTTATTATTTCTTGGGGTTTTTTAATTGGGCTATTATTGTGGGTTTAAAGTGATATCAGTGTTCTGATTTGCATCTCCCAGATGGTTAGTGAATTCAGAATTATTTACTTTTTGTAATAACACCAAAAAGTTCCTTTCACATTGGGGTATTCATATTTTTTTGTTGGCACATAATAACGTGATCTCCAATCTGCGACCTCTCATCTATATGTAGGAAAATGAACATGATTTGTACAAGAGATATCGCTGTCTGATCTGCCATACATCCAAACTCTCTATTAAGTTATCAATGCAATTAATCTGATCATCTTTCTGTTCAGTTTTTCTGTCCTTTTACCTTGCTGAACTTAATTATATATTCATTATTTTAACAATTCCTTGTTTTATACGTTGTAACTATAAATAAATGCCATTATTGCATGCTCATCCAGTTAAGTACTTTTTGAATTATTTTCCTATATTAGCACTTTTAATTTTTACTAAGACACTAGTTACTAAGAAGTTCTAAAATGTCTGAGCCAAGGAATGTCTGCCTGTGGGCAATAATTGAGAAAGGCTATGCTGGTTGAAGAATTAAATCCTAAATTGTAACGTTACTTCTTTAATAGACTCCATAATCATGCATATTGTCTGTCAGCTCTGTGTGGCTATTTCAGTAACTTATAAACCCAACAGCATAGTGGAGAGTACCGTGGGCAGGACAGCTGATGTCAGAGTTGGAGAATGGATTGGTGACAGCAGGTGTTTCTGACCTGCACTTCATATCAGCCAGTCTTGGAATGATGCTGATGCTGATTCTTTTTCATGAAGTTACAAGAGGTCAGATGTCCCTGTCCTGCCACTTCTGCACAACTAACAGAATTACCAAGCCCAGCGTGCTTCAGAAAGTTTGTGGAAAATGGGATTAAAACATAATGGAACTTTTACACAAACTTTTTGAAGTCCTGTTCTTTTGTACAAGTGAAAAATGAAAAATGGGCAAATGTGAGGGTAATCCAGAAAGCATTGTTACAATATCCTAGAAACTTTTCATAAACTAAAATATCCAAATGTGTATCTATTGCCTCTTGACATCTAAGTCTATTGCCTTCAGAAGGCAGTATTCCCATCTTTCTAACTCTCCTTGATGAATTTGGTTCTGAGTCTTAGAAAGACTCAAATCATGTTTCTTGTAAGTGTTAATATTTGACTCTGGGAAATTAATGAAATCAGAGGGATAATGAGATGAGGGCTGTAGGCCAGATGGACCAACGTTTAAAAATGAAATCCTCACAGGAGCCCTTGTTGCCCTAAAAGAAGGAGCTGGTACATTATTGTTGACAGAAAAACTCCTCACCACACTTTTCTAACCTTTTTTCCTAACCAATGCAATTTTCAGTTTCCTGAAAACTTCTTCATGATAAGACCCTGTGACCATCTTGAGTCTTTTGAGAAAATCTGTCAAACATCGTTGACCAATCCCTTAAGGGATTGTGCTAGATCAGGTTGACGAGAGAAAAAGTCCAAGGGCACTCGTTATGTGTAAGAGAGAGCTTTATATCAAAAAGTAAGTATATATCAAACAAATACCGTACATACCCACATATAAGCTGTTTTTTCAGCACATTTTCATGATGTTTTTGTGGTAAAATTAGGTGCCTCAGCTAATATTCGGATCAG